AACCGTGATTGCGTTTCTTGACAAGTCGAGCATGAATTCGGCGTCACTTACAGAATTTTGACACCAACCGGGATTCGAACTCGAGACCTCATGATCACTAGCCACGTTAACGCCCATTAGACCAATGATGTAGCCTGCAACTATATTATAATCTAAACACAAATACTCTCACAATATACCAGCATAATAAAGGAGAGTTTAGAGAGAGTTTGTAAAGAGAGTGTAGAGATCGAAGACCCCTTTCACTGACAACAGGACATTCCAACTTAGAGTGATGGAAACGCATCCCATTTTGATTATTAATCGATAATAGATGTGTACTCGTATATGGGGCACATCATTCACTTACCACCAGGAAAACTATGTGCTCGTTTGTTACCCTTGATTCTAAACTCCCTATCAGAACACTAACTCCTTCGTTACACGATAGAGATACCAATTGTTCATCGCCAGAGCTTCGTTGGAATATGGAGAATTTTTTACATAAAATATGATCTTATTGTAAAATAGCAGATAACGTTAATGTTCTTCAAGTGGAGAGTGACATACACTGGTTTCACAAAAATTACTTGATTTTGCAAAATTTCAGTCTAAAATGGGAATAACATTTTATCATTATAATTATATCAATTATAGCAATAAAATAATAAGATCGTTCGTTGTTACATGTCAGCTGTTACTGTGAAATAAATAAAACATCTTGGGTTCTGAATGATGAGATTGGGCTGTGTGAGACCGATAGGTTAATCAAAGAGCTGTAATTAATTATGTACTATTAAGTGGGTTTAGAATAGCTTAGGATACCTTAGTTAGATAGGTATCTGCTTTTTTTCAATGCAACTAATCTATATAATAATATATAATTTAAGAAAATTTCACCTCCACACTAGGATTTTCCTGTATCGTGGAGGCAGTTTACAAACATAAATTACACGAGGACAAACATCCAGACCCGGAACAATTATCTGTAGGCCATAAAAATACTTGTTCCGTGCGGGATTCGAACCCGCGACCCCCAGCGCAACAATTCATTGCTAAGCCGCTGCGCCATGGAGCCGTCGTCGATCTATGTCGAGGAAAAGCATCGGTCTTGCGTCCTTTCGAAACCCAAAATGTAAACAGTCCAAACAAAAAATATATCCGAGTAATAAAATAAAATGACATGTCTTACCTAGTTTAAAGAGCACCTCCCACCCTTTGTGTGACGGGCCCAACCTGTACCCTAGTATTGTAGGTATGTCATTGGATGGACTTGTGCTCAATGCTCTGGTATTACCCTTGCTGACATGAAGAATAGCTGAGTTGATAGACTTTTTAAGTTGCTACTGTAATGTAGATTTGTAATTCTCCGTGAAGCAAGAAGCATAGTAAATAATCCAAGCAGCTCACAAGCGGTATGAACATCATACACCAGCCCACATAGAACTTAGAGTTCTTTTTAATGCGTATAAGAGTGTTGAAAAGAGGTCATATCCTTATAAGAGTGGTTTATGAGTTATTATACAGTTCAAGCTGTATGGGATCTAAGTAAGGTTAGGGTTTTTAATCAGAATATGAAATCCCTAGTATACAACTTTATGTATTTTGTAACACTTCAATCGGATTATATCATTAAAGCTGTATAGAAGCTGTTTTTTTTTGCATGCTGTCCCTTGCTTATACAACTGTAAGTGTTATTATAGTTTCACTATAGTCTTATTTCTGGACAATGGTGTATGCAAACTCTCTTCTAAAACTTATTCTTATGGTGTCATTGTATACTTTTGTAAATAGCGCGGCAATTTTTCGTTAGAAACCATCTACAAGTTTACCGTAAACCTAATTTGGCACGTTCAATTCACCAATTATTATCGTCAAACTCAACTCGAATTCGAATATAATATTAATATGTTAAATATATGTACATAGGTACATTAAATATCGCCATCATTCAATAAACGTTCTTTTTGTTTTATATTTATTTGTAATCCCATTCAAAAAGTAATTTTAAAGTTTGTCTTTATAAGTTACTTATAAGACAATATCAGTAGTGTAATAGTTTCCTTGCACACCAAATAACGGCTGTAATACAGCAGTTATACAGCCTCTTTTATGCTAATACAGCAACTGTACTGCGCTACTCACGCGTGAAGCTGCATAATTTGTGCCAATTTTTTACTTATAAGAACAGTATAAGCACTTTTATACAGCTTTTATACAGCTAGATAATACAGCTTTTGGTATAAAAACGAACTTCAATACAGCTCGTATATAGCTTGCATGCTGCTTGGGAAAGTAGTTACGAAGAAACAATATATACTTAGTTTTCTGACTTGAAATTATTCTTCAGAGTTTTAGAGTGAAAACTTTTTTAGAATCGTTGTGATTTGAAACTCGATGAAACGAAAAAGCTAAACTAAAAAGAGACAAACATATACAGCTATAGGATTTAGCCTGCCAGGGAATGAGATATAATATAGTATACAGGCTTTCTTACTATCTTGGCCTCCTATTTGTGCGGTGCTTTAGAGATTAACTTTTAAAAAACAACAAATAAAATAAATAAATAAAATCTATAATAAAATTATCATATACAATCTATTCATAACAATCTACTATATTCAATATAAAACCTATAATAGACGCCAGTCTCTCACAATGCTAGGCTCTTACTATGTACATTGTTATTGTTAACTAGCCAGTAAGTTGTGAAGAGATAAATAAATTGAGTTGAAATTTCATAACTTACCGATACATATTGAATTAGTCAAGTTAAAACCATTTACGTACGATTCTACGTACCAATTTGAGAGTCAATAAATTGTTCGATAAAATGACTTTACCTGTAGAATGAAGATTACAAAGCAATTACACTCGCAATTTTCTGTGGGTTTCACTTCTACTGCATGTGAACTACACACATGTGTCTTTTTATATCGCAGTGAAGAAAGTTTTTTTAAAAAATTACCATCTTGGAAAAAACATATAATCCTTATTAGAAAATTACATTAATTTTTTGAGAACCATTGTTATTAGAAAAAGATTTAATTTTCATAATTTATCTGAAGCTATTGTAAAGATATAATTTAAAATTGGGAAAGCTTTTTAATATTTCTAGAATAAAGGCAGCGAAGAAGAAAATAGGCTCTTCCTCAGACAGATTGTGTATTGTTCAATAGACAACTTACATTAGCCTGTTACTCTAAAACTCTAAAAGAAACTTCATTCGTCCCGCACTACTAAAATGATTATTAAAGGCCAACTCTGTGTTGCTTTATCTTCCGTTAGTAATCCCCGTAACCTTTTTGTGTACCTACGTTCCTGAGAAGTCTACTTCTAACGTCGTTTACACCGATGCTCTATCATGAACGATATAGAACTTCGAGGATAATGATCTGTTTTGCTATCACGTATTGATACAGTAATGAGATAAATCGTATAATGTGCTCTAACGTAATCGTCAATTTTTTAAGTAAAACCTATATAAGCGAGCACAGCCAGTAATAACTAATTTTAATACATTACTAATAGGTGCTTTGAAATATTAAATGCTTAATCCATTTTACTTAAATGCAGACAAAGCAACACTCCAAGTCTAACGAATAACGTGAATTAGTAAATATAAACAATTTTCTTAATTTCTCTTTCGTCGCGTAACCCTTGTTAAGCAAGCAGCTGCAGCCTTCAAGTTCTTTGTCACAGATCCGACAATGCCATACATTCCAAAGGATATGATAAATGAGCTCCAGTTAACGTTAGATGTCGTGCATTTTTAATGAAATAACTCTAAAAGCCCTACTAATACAGCATTTACTCTTTTCTTTACAAGATATTGCTTTGTGTATGTGCTTATTATATATTTTAGCAATAGACAATATTACATTTTGAAGTGTTAAGTCCATTACAATTTGTTATCCAACAATTATAAAGCAAAAAAGTCGTAAAATACTTGATATGAACCAAATCAATATTACAAGCAAAATACGATGGTAAGAATAGATTATAAAAATAGTTTCCTACATTTTACGGTAAACAGCGACAAATAAATAATATCAAATACCTACCTCACAAATTCAAATCGAATAAATGTTTTATATATATTTTGTATTAGATAAATAAAAAGTCATTATATATTTTATGATTTATTTTTATACACTAAAAGTGTATAATGACTGTTGATAACTTTTTTAATTTGTAGGTGATTTCACTGCATACTAGATATAGACATAGAGAGTGTCAAATATTTAAAAACACCACTATGGTATGGTGAAAATCGCGCTGACATGTAGTAGTAACGACACGGTTTCCTTCTGTGTGATCACAAAAAATAAAATCTTCAACGTTAAAAAAAATATGTTTCTTGGATTATTCATTCCCAACAGTACAGTAATCAGCTAAGAACACACCTAAGAATTAAATTAACAACTGCTCCGTGACTGCGTGGCGTATTTTTCCTCAGATTAGTGCTTGTGGCGGCGCATCTCTGTGAAGCTTAAGCCTCACTCAAATATTTGAACTATCAAGCTCGGGCAATTTAATGCTATGCTATGCTATTGTTTTCGCTATTAAATTATATAAGTACTTTAATTATATAACAGATTATCGTAAATAGTACAACCATTTATAGAATTGCATTTTTTTCATAGAATAAGGGTGACAAACGAGCACACAGTCCACCTGATGGTAAGTGGTTGCTGTAGCCCATAGACATCTACATCTATCTTCGTTTGCGAATTTAAAAAATTGTTTGCTTTCTTAAAATCAACAAAGGAAGAAAGATTTCAAGTGATGCCGAAACCAAACCAAAACAATTCTCAACGTATTGTACAAACTCGCACACACGCGCACATAAAATCGTTACGCAACCAACGATATGTTTTAACATTGGACAGAAGTGGAATTTTACAGCCTATTAAAGAAAAAAGATAAGTGAGCGTCGAGCGTCGAGAGAGCGTCTTTCTTCGTTGGTCTGACACGGCTCAATAAAAAAAAGAAAGAATATAAAATGTTAAAAGCAATACCTTTTTAGCGACATTTAATTTGTGCTGCCGCAGGAATTTCGCTTCATCGGCAATCTGTTGCTGGAAAACTTCGACGGCTGCCAGACGTGCGCGTGCTAACTTCTCGTTTTCTTCTAACACGGTGCGCCACACGTTCCACATATTCCTGTTAAGGCGCTAGATTGTTAAACCACTCAAAAATACGCCGTTAATAACCTATTCCCCATACCTCATCATTTTATAGAGGGTGACCCTTGGTAAAATCAATAAATTTTACAAATTATTTTATAATACGAGTATCTAAAACATTAAATTATTGTGATATCTGTATACAAGTCAACATAATTAACAAAGTATGAAAATAACGTCTAAGATATTAACAATATCATCCATTTATCGGTTCTCAAAGTAAACCTCTGCTGATGGAACTAATGAAAACTTTTTATAGATTAAAATACTACCAAAATGCAATACTGAGCAGGTTCACCATAGTAATGTCTGACGCAGTATCGGGTATATGCGATGTAATTAGTAGTAAAGACTAAGTAAATTAAAGATATATATTATACGAATCTGAATTTTTTTTATACGTATCTGAATTATACTATATGAATCGGAATTTAGAAGCTCATAATTTGAAAATGTAGAATGAATTTATGACGGGTTGTTAATATATCTAGACAAGAGCTGAATGGTAGCATGCAAATTGAAAATGATTGATGATGATATATGAGACTGGACAGGTTGATGGAGGTTCCGATACTGCGAGCTAAGTAAGGCATTACGACATAAAAAGTCATTGTTGACGAAGGTGGCCGATTTCAAGGTACTATTACAAATGTAAAAACTGTTGTTCTCCATCTTTTTATATCAATGTAATTTATGCAATAATCGGATATAGTTTCATTACAATACATATATCTAAAAAAAAGCTGGAGTAATATTAACATTGGCTTATATAAGCTTGGGAATAACCCAGCAGATAACAAATGGAATTGCATTAGTCAATACTAAAATAATAGTAATAAATTATTATCTGATGCAATAAACATGTTTTAATACGAATCGAAGGCACCACCCAGAGTATACTAATTGCTGTCGCTAAGCGACGGTGCACCCACCTCACCGTTGTATGTCGGTTTGTAGGGGGTAGTCAGTATTCCATGTATACATATTTTAAGCTTACAAATTAAATCTTTCGTATGTACCACATGATTTTTGGAAAATTCTCTTAAGATTCATAAATATCACAACATTATTTACAACAAAACGTTTATAAGTTTCATTCTACATTTATAAGGTTACATAACTAATTTGTTTAATATATTATGTTTTTATTTTTTTCTCATTTTTATTATCTCGTGAAACTCCACTGCTGGATATGGGCCTTTGAATGGAAGATTTACCGTAATCATTACGCTTTAAGTTTTAAGTTTTATCTTTCGGGCCATTCCCTAAGTTGCTTACGATATTATTTTTATCAAATTATTTGGCAAGGCAGCACGCAAGACGCAAAGTTTGGATATACCATAAGCCAAGCAATATTTTGGAAGAAACCATAAGGTACAATAGATATATTGTAAGACTATAAAACAAATTTAAGAAAAAATTGTAACTGACGCATGAGAAACATAATAAAGCAGAAGCAAACACTTTCGTCGTCACTTTGTAGATATTTCAAACTATCTACGCTATAAAGTGCGACGAAGTTAATCCTGTAAACAAAATGAAGATTATAGTAAGCGCATCAATGAAATACTATCATCAGTTATTACATAAGATTGCAATGTACATGTTTATAATATTAGTGATAAAAAAAAACACCTGATGATAAGTGACTATTGCAGCATATAGACAGCTGCAACCAACATCATGCAAATAAAGTTTAAGGTTCAGTAGCGTAAGCGTTTGACTAGATAAATAGTTGTTCCTTCAGGATATTTGTCCATGTGAAATTTATGCATGATCAACCTACAGTTAACGGTTAAGGTTAATTGGGCGGATTGGTTGTAATCCAAATAACTAAATGGTATACTACATTTGCATTACTCAAACAGACATTTTTTGAGAAGTATAAAAGAAAAAGAAGAAAAAATTATTAAAAGGAACCATTTCTACATTATTTGTACCAGTAAGTATAATATTGTTATAGTAAGTCTTCAAAAATTTCATGTAATATTCTTTTACACGATGCATGCATCATACAGACGAAAATTCTGATGTAGGTAACGTTTTTATCTTTAATAATAAAAATACATTATTTTGTTGTGTTGTCAAACCTGAGTACTAACTAAGATCAATGCCTCAAAGCCTGTAATTGTGTTGTGTCTCCTGCAATCTCGCACACAACAGTGTACTGTTACGTAGAGGAAGAAACAGATAGATTCTATCATTTTATGTTTATATTTAAAGGCAATAAAGGTAAATCAATTATGTCTCTCAATACGTAGGTAACTCAATAAGTTTTGAGATGCTCAAAATTTAAAAATGAAACGCACTCGTGCTATATGTTTCTAAAAAGCAAATTTATTTAAAAATAGAACTCCATAAGCCAATTGCTCAATATGAAAAACAAACAAAGTTCTATTAATTTTCCTGCAACGCTTCCCGCGCTTTTCATTTAAAAAGATGGATCTAAACCGTTAACATTTGCACGCTATGATATATTATGATTTTAAATTTGGTTTTACCGAACAATTAAGTTTACAACGCTTACAATCAGCATTATGGGACTCAGCTCCATCACGCGCAACAATTTTTAGGTGGTTTGCTGAATTCAAAAGGGGTAAAATTAATCTTAAAGATGACCAAACAACGAGGGCCTTGGGGGCAAACAGCAGTAACGGCAGAAAATGTATGGACTATTGAAATGTTGGTGCGAGAAGACCCAGGAATCACATATACGGACATCGAAAAGATTGTAGGCGTTAGTTCGGGGAGCTTTCCTACCATCCTACATCAACATCTTGGAGTGTTGAAGTTTTGTTGTCGACTCGTGTGGATTAGTGCCATGAAATGCGTCTACATTTTGAAAACGGGGCATCTAGGTGTGTTTCAGAAATCGTTACTGGTGACGAGACATGGATCTATCAATATGATCCGGAAAATAAAAGGCAATCATCGGCATGGCTCTACTCAGAAGGACAGTTACCGACAAAACTGCAAAGACCTCGCAACGACGGCAAAAAAGGTGGCTAGTTTTTTTTTCGCTGAGCGGACATTTGTCAACGTCAATGCTGGAAAATTGTAGGTCAGTCAACTCTGAATGGTATACTACAGTTGCATTACCCAAAACTTTTCAAGCTGTGCGGGAGCAAAGTCCAAAGACCGGGCATGGGGGAATCATGCTGCATCACGATAACGCCTCTTCACATACTTCCCTTAGAACAAAAGCAATTATTGAGGAATCTGGTGTTGAAACTCTAAGTCACGCACCCTACAGCCCTGACTTAACTCCTTGTTATTTCTTTTTGTTCCCAAGAGTCAAACAAAAAATAAAAGGCAAGTTCTTTTCAAGCACCGAAGAAACCGTGGCTGCCTACGAAGAAGCGATTTCCGACAGGTTTTTTTTTTATAGGAGAGGGGGCAAACGAGCATGCGGCTCACCGGATGGTAAGTGACTACCGCCGCCCATGAACAACTGCAACACCAGGGAGGGAATTGCAGATGCGTTGCCGGCCTTTTAAAAAGGAGTACGCTCTTTTCTTGAAGGTTCCTAAGTCGTATCGGTCCGGAAAAATCGCTGATGGTAATCGATTCCACAAGGAAGTCGTGCGAGGAAGAAAACATCTTCTAAATCGCACAGTGGTGGACCGCCAATCATCCAGATGGTGTGGATGGTATCGGGAGTTCTGCCGCGATGTGCGTTCGTGAAATTTGGCGGCTGGAATTAATCCGAACAATTCTTCAGAGCACTCCCCATGGTAGATGCGAAAGAAAATGCAAAGGGATGCAACATCTCTTCGCAGTACCAATGAATCGAGCCGATCGGAAAGGGCTTGGTCGTCGACGATTCGAGCCGCTCTGCGCTGGATGCGGTCAAGTGGAAGGAGCCGGCACTGGGGAGCCCCTGCCCAGAGATGGGAACAGTATTCCATGTGGGGCCGAAACCGAGCCTTGTAAAGTTGCGGGCGGTGTGCCGGCATGAAATACTGTACCGCTCTGCTGAGCACGCCAAGCTTTTTAGAGGCCAATTTGGCCTTGTCTTCCAAGTGACCACGAAACTGCACGTCACTCGATATGTCGACTCCGAGGATACCGATACTGGCTGAGGCAAGAAGGGGAGTGCCTTGAAACTGAGGAGATACGACAAAGGGGTTCTTTTTAGCGGTTAACGCGCAAACTTGTGTCTTCTGAGAATTAAACTGGACTAGATTTAGTCGCCCCCAATCCGAGACTTTGTTCAGCAAAGACTCGACTTCAGACACAAGTTTGTTCCGGTACTCGGCGACGTTTACCCGAGAAATATTGGCACGGCCGGTGTATAGAGCATTACCAGTGCTGTCATCCGCATAGCAATGAATATTACCAGTTTATGCCAAACCCGATCGAAGGCCTTCGCAATGTCCAGACTAACGACCAACGCCTCCCCCTTGGACTCTACTGCCTCCGCCCATCTATGGGTCAGGTAGACCAGAAGATCACCAGCTGATCGACCCCGACCAAAGCCGTATTGGCGGTCACTAATCAGCTGGTGATCCTCAAGGTACCGGATGAGCTGGCAGTTAATAATGGATTCCATTATTTTGGAGAACAAGGAGGTGATCGCGATAGGCCTATAGTTGGACGGGTCTGAGCGGTCGCCTTTTATAGGGATCAGGTGGACAAAAGCTGTCTTCCATGAGTTCGGGACTACGCCTTGGGAGTAGGAGTACCGGAAAAGACGCGTTAGGACCGGTGCCAACTTCGGAGCACACGTCCTCAGCACAATTGGGGGGATTCCGTCAGGCCCACTCGACTTTTGGATGTCCAGGGAGAGAAGTGCTTTGCGAACCGAGCGCTGTGAGAACAGCACATCCGGCATGGATCACTCACACCGCGGGATGGTCGGCGGTGTTTTCCCCCAGTCATCAAGAGTCGAGTTGGATGCAAAGAGGCAGCCTAAAAGGTTTGTCTTTTGCGTCTTGGGCCAGTGAGTCGTCCTCCCTGTGCAGAGATGGTAGTGAT